TTAATTTCACCTATCATCTTTGAAGGGTCGATAACTTACCTAATAAGAATATGAGCCAAAACCTTCTTCCACCTACTCACTAATCCCCAGGTGATTTCTACGTTTTGCTGTGAATAACCTAATCTTTATACCATCCCAGCGAACTTGTGACCGCATTAGAAATGTTTCTATGCCTCCAATTTCGTATTTTAAAACATATTAATATTAGATATTTTGTCTTCCATCTTATACCCAGGGATTCTTCGAAGACGCTGCTAATGGAAGGTATCAAGATAGCGAATATTGTTCTGGTAGGGGTCCAGGATTCGCAGCCATAAGGGAGAGTTTTAATTACTATGGCTCGATGTACGTTAACTTTGGTTTTCAAGGAAATTCTTCTAACATTTCACAGACGATGTTGTAGCTTTCCAAAGCAGGCTATATCTTTGAAGATGGGATAAATCGTCAAGAGATGTTGAATTGTTGATTTTTCTTCCTAGGTATTTAAGTGATTTTGAATATTTAAGTTCTTTATTATCAACAGTAATTGACACAGATGGTAGAACGTGACTGAAGGAGGTTGCTGAAAACCACCAAGAGATTTCGCCATTGGTTCTGATTGGTGTACAACTTTATAGTATTTTATATTAATTGTTAAGCCAAATCCTTTGCATAATATTGAAAATCTGCTCATATGCTCTTATGAATTATGAAGATATGTTTTCAACAGTTTTTACATACTTTTTGTTCAGAAAAGGAAACACTTGTACGAACACAAGAAAAATTAAATTAAAAAACCTAATCGTAGTAATCGTCAGTCTTCTTTAACGAAACATATATAACAGAGGGATTTCTGTCTAAATACACAATTATCAAACTACACGACCCGGCAGCCAATAAGGAAAGTAACACTACAGCAGTCAGAAAAAAAGTCCTACGGCAAATAAAAGCAGCTAAAAGTGACATCCAGACATTTAAATAATGACATACAGAAATATAACGAGACACTAAAAAACACCTTGACCGAACCCGAATATAAGAAACCACAGAACCACCTCAACGTAAACATGAATGAACACCAAATTACATACAGACAAATAATTACAAAAAAGCTATGTAAACTATACAAAGAATCATTCGAATACCCAATAGAAGTGATAAATATATAAATCTATGTAGTGATAAATTAAGAGATGTCTAAAAAGAATTCCTAAATCTAGAGCCAATTTGCCATCTCTAACTTAAATCTGACTTTTTCATAAAGAAGGCCGAAGTTGAAATTCTACACCAGTCACTATCCATACTTGAGGCGCGTGGAGACATAGCAGTTCACACAGACCTGAGAGACCTCCTTAAGGCAGAGGGCTTAAAAGACTCCTCTCCACACAACAACTGTAATAATATCCTAACAATAACACCAAAAGTCGGTGAAAAATAACTAAAAAACACTTTCAATAATGTCATCAGTGACGAGCTGACAAAGCTAAGCACATTTTGGACAAAGCCGATTACCGTAAAAAATTACAACACATCATCGATGACCGATTTAAATTCACCAAATTAAACCAAAAGTTCACAGACAACCTAAAAACATTTGTCAAAAAACTGGTACCATCTAACAACCCCGACGTTGGTTCCCTGAAAGCTCAAAAAAACATCGAAGACTAACAAATAGGATACCTCTACGGAAATATAAAAATACACAAACCCGGATACCCACTACGACCAATCATTTCCAAGATCCAAACTCCTATCTACTAGCTATCAAAATTCCTTAACAACATCATTACCCTATACCTATACAGTACTTAAAACATCACATCAACTCACAAATTCCTTCAAATTCAAAATAGTATAAAATTAACCCAAAGTATTTTAGCATAACTTGACGTTGAAAATTTATTCACAAACATCCCCGTTGATCGAATTATTGACATAATCCTTAAATCCGTGGATATAAATAATTCCATTCCACCTCCATCCATCAAACCAAATATCCTCAAAAAATTATTGCATACCTGCACAACGAAAGTCCCCTTCTACGACCATAAGTACAATATAGACTCCCAAACTAATGGTGGTAACATGGGAAACCCGCTCGGCCCGTGCTTCTCAAATTACTACACGTCCCACATGGAAAAAATGATATTTAAACAAGTCACTAAACCCAAAATGTATGTCCGCTACGTAGACGATGTTTTTATTTCAGCGAAAAACAAACAAGAAATAAAACAGATAATCTCAAAACAACATTTGAAAAAAAAAACACTGTCCTTAACTTTAAATATGAACTGAGTCAAAAATTAAACTCCTATTCTTAGACATTTACGTAGAATAAAGTAGCAACACTTTCACCATCTCATTATATATATATATATATATATATATATATATATATATATATAAAATAAAAAAAAACACTAGCAGAAATTCTTGCCGACTAAATCTTAAGGGTGAATACCCACTTAGATATAAAAATAGCAGTTATAAAAAATCCTAGAGAGCACATGAGAATTCATCC